GCTCTATTGAACATTTATGAATATATAGATTACTGAAGAACTTATAGGGGCAACACTCATTGAATCAGTAGCGCTCGTTATACAAACATTCAAATTTAAGCTAGCACCTAATGATTAAAACTAAAATTCCAAAGCACTGATGCATATGTTACTACCATCACTGATTTTTTTCACTTAAATTTGACTTCCAAGTCTACTTACTAGTTTTATTTGATAACGCATGCACAGTTGATGGAGATTGGTCTGACTGGTCAGATTGGGGTGCCTGTAGTGCTACATGTGGCGGTGGAACCCAACAGCGCAGTCGCACTTGCACCAATCCTCCTCCGTCTAATGGTGGAGCGCAGTGCAGTGGGGACTCGACTGAGTCTCAAAGGTGCAATGAGGACCCTTGCCCACGTGAGTAATAGAAAACAAAATATCCTAATTTCTTGTATCTATTGGTCAGGTAGCGAATGATGAACCCAAGCAATACATAAAGCGAGAAAAATGAGCCCAGGTCTCGTGTTAAGCTTCGGCTGCGATTGATAGTGTCACAAATGGGAGAGAGAGGCCATATTCAGTGGAATTGCTATCTACATAAACAGTTATTTGATGATGACTAAGCCGCCATCTATTTTTTCTTTGTTGATAATTTAATAATTTAAAATAATTCGTTATTAATAATAGGCGAAGTTTACATATGTTAAAAACTAATAGAAAATATATCTATATAGTAAATTACCGTCGCTTTGATAATTCGTTTTGGAGAAGACAGCTTTTTGGAGCACACGCACGTCACAAAGATCAAAATTGGTTGCATCTGTTTCTTTGTAAATTGTAGTTGTGTAACGTCTTCGAATTGCATGGCAGAAGTCCTACTTTTTTGTTTTCAGTTTGTGCCTCTACTGACAGGCAGTCATGTTTTCCTCCGTACTTTTCTCGGAATTGCACCCAATCCCTTTGCAATTACTTTTCCAGAACTCTTCGCAAGCATTGCGTGCGTATGTTTCAATATTTTCTTTTCCTTCTAGCTGTGAATGGTGGTTGGAGTCAGTGGTCATCTTGGTCAGACTGCACTTACAGCTGCGGTAAAGGAAAACAAACAAGAAATCGCAGTTGTACCAATCCTCCACCTGCAAATGGCGGAAGAGACTGCCGTGGAAAAACGTCGAGTTCGCGGTCGTGTAATAAGGAAAAATGTAGTAAGTTCAGTATTTGGACTTATAGCTAGGCTGACGATAACAGCCAAAAATAACACTTAATTAACCAATCAAAAGTCGAAGAAAAATTATACCTGCATCTGATTGGCTGAAAATTAAAGACAAAATCGTCAGGAGTAACTGAACCAATGAAATAACTTAGAAACACAAATCAAAGCAAACCAGAAAGTGCTTTCCGAAGTGATTTGAAACCTTCTAAAACTGCTGCCAAATCTCTCTCACTCAATCGTCCATCCTTCCATCCATCCGTTTGTACATCGATTCATTCATTTTTACGTATTCGTTCATTTTTCCGTCCATCCATTCATTTAGTTTTTTCAGCCGATTTTAACTTGGTGCTGGCCTCTGTTAAATTAAAAGTTTACAGTCTCATTTTCTTTGCATTCCGGAAAGGTAAAACCTCGACATATTTTTCAGCAAGTGGAAGCATAAACGGGAATAACTTTAGGAACTTCGTGCATGGGAGCTATTCCAGAGAAAAATGAAACG